GGGGGGGCTTGTTGAGTTGTTTATTACTGGATGCACCACAGTGCGTTGCCATATAAATCAAACCTACAAATTCAGTGGAGGGAAAATTGCCACCCCCCCCCCCCCCCTTTTTTTTTCGCCCAGGTTTTGAACTCATAATATTCACAACTGTTGGGGGTCAGGTATACAAATTTAATTTTCCTTATGTATACGCCTATCTCGATTTTTTTAAAACCGATTTCAATGAGAAAACTTATTTTTATTTTTACTTGGCTATTTATCGGATGAATCATTTAGGCTCCCTATCTTAGTGATATTTAAAACGTCACATTATAGAACAAGAGATCCGTATTTTAACTTTAGTGTAACATTTTGGTATAGAGGGTTTATTCTTGAGATAATGACGGCATAAATAGTCATCAAACGTTGTTATTTGAAGTTTAATATTAAAAAAAACACCAAAATTATAGGAATTTCCAGAAATTTCTATATTGTTCGACGTAGATATAAAGATGATTAAATTGACAATGTCATTGGAATCTAAATGTTTATGGAATTTTAGTTCAGTTTCATTGATTTCTATACTGTCCCCTGGAATTTCGCCTCTATCTGTTATTATATTCTTTTTCGTACGTCTCTTGCAGTTTCTTATTCTACAGATTTCGATTTTTTAAAGTAAGGTTTTTAAGATTATATAAATTATCCTATCATGTTTCTTGTGTTTCGGAAAGTGTCCACGATTGTCCTCGAATTTAAAGATATTTTTTGAAGTTTATAGAAAGTTCCAAAAGAGTGGTTCTAAAATGTATTTTCCTTGTAATCGCCAAAGCTATACAAGAAGGCTTAAGTTTCAATGCAATATTCAAAGTAAATTTTTGCATTTAGGTCAAACTTGGAAAGCATACGTTCCACAGTCCCTTTTAAAATAACTCTGGATTTCAAAATAATACTATCCACGTTTTTGTGGAGAGAAAAAGGGTTTGGGGTTGGGGGGGGGGGTGCAATTTTATTTTAAATAAAACGAATTATCTTTTGTGGTTTTCAACCAATTTTATTGAGGCAGTTTTTTTTAAAAATTAATTTTAGTCGTTATACAACTTAAAATACTTAGTGTTGAAAAAATATTAAAGATTATGTTCTTTTGGCACTGTGGTCTCCAATAATATAAGTTTAAAGGCAACATCTTTACAAATCCCTTCCCATTTTAATTGGATGCATTGAAAAATTAATTTGAATATTTATCTGAATGATTTATTGTACAGTTACACCATCTTATGGATAACTATTATGACCTCTTTTGAATGAGGATCCTGTTTCATTTTTATTGATGAGCGGCCATAGCTTTAGAATTGGGGAAAACCCCCGGCCTTCTTTTTTTTTCCTTTCCTTTTTTTTTGGTTTTTTTTTTTTTTACCTCTGTTTATAATTATTGGATTTGGTCTTTAACTTTAAATTCAGCTTATTCTTTTAAATAAACGGAAATAAACTGTGTACATGTACTATTTTGATACATTGCGTTCGGTGCGTTGTATTTAGGAGGTTGTACATTATTTCAAGTATCACATTGTTCAGTCGAATGCATTAAGAGTGATTTGGCGCAACTGCGAGTTTACTGACCTAGGGGTTCTGTTTTTTGTGTGTTTTTTTTGCCCCCTTTAAATATCTGGGTTTTTTTGTTTTGTTTTTGGGGGGGGGGGGAAGAATCACAAACTTGAGATAAAGCCGCAAACATCATTTATTCAATCTACAGAGTTGGTGCATTTTTATGACAGCAAGATATCAAGGGCGTCATTTGTTACTCATGGAACAATTTTCAGTCAAGTATTTATGTATTGTAAATTTATTATACCTTTCTTAAATACCAGACAAACTAATTTTATGTCTAAATTTTATTACGGCCATCCCAGAATCACACGGTAGTGTTACAGTGCCGAGCCTGGGCTCTGAATAAAAGTCTCTAGCCACTTGGCTCTGAAAAAGTCAAATGTGAGTCGAGATGGCTAAAGGCGAGCTGCTGGCAAAAACAAGAAGGTCCCACATTCTGAACCAAGAAACCGGACAAATGGATGGTTCAATCCCAAATCAGGCTCAGCAACAAATTAATTAATTTTGGAAACCAGGTTAGAATGCGTGTAAACCAACCTGCATTTCAAGCTTACAATGGCGTGCACTCAGTACAATGGCATGCACTCAGTACAATGGCGGGCACTCAGTACAATAGCGTACACTCGGTACAATGGCGTGCACTCAGTACAATGGCGGGCACTCAGTACAACGTCGGGCACTCAGTACAATGGCGGGCACTCAGTACAATGGCGGGCGCTCAGTACAATGGCGGGCGCTCAGTACAATGGCGGGCGCTCAGTACAATGGCGGGCACTCAGTACAAGGCGGGCGCTCAAATACAATGGCGGGCACTCACTACAATGGCGTGCACTCAGTACAATGACGGGCACTCAGTACAATGGCGGGCACTCAGCACAATGGCGTGCACTCAGTACAATGGCGGACACTCAGTACAATGGCGTGTACTCAGTACAATGGCAGGCACTCCAGTTTCAGGGATATTAACTGAAAGGAGATAGGCGCCCAAATACGATGTTTGCTAGTGTTAGTTTAAATTTTGACTTTTATGCGAGAAAATTGAAATTTAAACAGTTATAGTGTTTTGGGCATCGTGTTCAGTTATAAGTTATAGTATTTTTGACAACATGTTTACATATAAGGCTTTATGCGATTATTTTTTCCGAATACAAATCTGAGCAAAGCCGGGTAAATTGGCTAGTTATATGTAAACAAATAAAAGGTGTTGTAAACAATCGGCCCCAAGACGGATCCAAAGCACGTCAACTACGATGGCGGTGGATTACATTTGCATCCAGCTGTCATGAGTGACTGCCATGCGCACGCACACGTCGGGACCCCTGCCGCATCACATACAGGGCACCCGTAGTTAAGATCTTCAGATCCCGCATCAAATCTCTTCTCTTCCATCTTGCTCTCTGTACTTTTATTTTAAGTGAACGCTTTTATTGCTCTTGAAAACGCGTGTGTTGTAAGTAATTTTAAGTATGTGGGGGGGGGGGGCATTACTACAGCTGGGGCTGCCAACTCAAACGTATAACATTTGCGGACAAATATTCCAAATCTCCACAATTTCTAAGAACAACTAATATTTTTTTTTTTTTTTTTTTCTTACGTTTTAAAAAAAAAATAACAAAGCTAAAAATATTTTTTTTTAA